GCGCCTTCCTACCCTTCAGATTTAATTAACACTCCAAAGAGAAAGAGAGGGCCAAATGTTTGGGCTAATCATCTGTATGACACAGTAAAGTGGTCAGACTTGGCCGGGATCTATTTTTATGATTCTAGAAATACTAAAAATGAGCATACTGTGGTGATTATCCAGCAATGAGGTGAACTGTGATAAATAAAAACATTTTTTAAGAAGATGTGACATATATACAAATGGGTTCATGGCTGTGCCCTTTTCTGAACAACAATTCTAGTGTACGACTAGAAATGAATTATATTAGAAAAACAGCGTGTTTACCCATATAATTGTGCAGTTAGGCCTGATTTACACATACTGTGTCTGCACTTTATAAATTAATGACAACGTAATGAAAACGAATTTGCGACGTGGCTTAATTTGATTCTCAATTCTGCGATTTAATTCAATGAATATATGTGCAACATGTTTTAGAGAGAAATACAGAAATATTATTATATATTATATTAGCATTTTACAGTTGTACTATAAAATTTTACTATTTTAATTCTCTTAAATACGTTTTTTTATTTTATATTGAAATATTACAAAAGTAATATTTCTTATTTTGTGTCTTATTTTATAGCAGTAACTGTAATTCAGTGCTGCAACAAAGAATATATGATGCCTTTAAAAGCAACAGGCAAACAAATGATGAACATTAATTTAATAGCAGCTTGTTTAGTGACAGTAGGTGAGCACACAGCCAGACCCACCCAAGCAGATATGCCAAGATGCTTTGTTTACCTTGCTGTGTCACGGGAGTGCAGAAGGTGCGAGTAGTGAAAACACGGAATGGAGTTTTAATCTATATGGACTCTGAACTGAGCCAAGTGGAATGGATTTGAGAGGAAGCAGCAGTGTGGAATTTATTTTATTAGGGCATTCCTCAAGTGGAATGGATTTGACTGATGGCGCTCTAAAAAGTGAACAGACATATCTTGAATTATATGTTGAATTTGAGACGTTAAAAGTGAGTGGGTCCAATATCATTGGTCTTAAAAAGTGGGAACCATACAATGGTTCTGACGCCCATGGTTTTTAAGGCTTGTCAGTTTAAACATTAAAGTGATTTTAAGCTATTCAAGCGCAAGGTGGTGCGAAAGAGATCTAAATGCGGTACTCACGCACTGTCATACATCGTCTCTGTGCGCACACACCTGAAGTAACCACACAAGGAAGCCGTCTCTCAGACAGCACGCAAATACCAAATTGAGTTCTCTTTCTCGTTTTAAGCAAATAGGTACAAAATTATGTGTGAATGGCTGTTTTGACGAGTATCGACGTAAAAACAGTCAGTTACGTCTTGAGTGAACGTAAACAGTTAAGAAAATATCGGATGTGCATTAATATAATGGACCCGTGTATTTCTTATGTTAATAATGTTAACAACAGAAAATAGAGAATCACTCGCTGCTCTTAACTAAGTAACTTCTGTAGTTTTAATGGATATTTGTGTACATTTACTTCATACAATAATAGCCACCATATTAAAGGAACAGTTTACGAAGAAATTTATATTTTGTCATTTACTCACCCCATTCCTCATGGATCACATGAGGAAATTTTGAAAATGTCCTTTTTTAAAGTGTTTCTATACAACTTTTGCGTTCCCCAAAAGAAACTTTTTGTTTCTTTTGATTTTTTTTATTTTTTTGATTTTAGGTGAACTACCCCTTTAAGTGTTCCGATATATCACATTAATTTTTCTAAACATCGCATATGTAAGATAGGGCTGTGCAAAAAATTGAATGCGATTTTCATGCGCATCTCGTCAGTAAAGCCACTCCTGTGATTAGTAGTAAATCTCCAGCATGTGCGTTCAGATGGAGCGGCTTTACTGACGAGATGCGCATGAAAATCGCATTCGATTTTTTGCACAGCCCAAATGTAAGATATACAAAACTAACTTTATGCTTCAAATCTGTTAAAGACCTATAGCTGTTGCTAACATATTAATTTATATCAATACACAGTATGTCTTTAATTGTGATCACCAAGTTTCCACAAGGCTCCCATTACAATCCAGTTAGCCCCATATGAAGGTCACTGGCTGTACACATAAGACCTGTTGAACAATCATTTAGAGCCTCTTAATCACTTCCAAATTGAACAGTCACTTACAGCTCTATTTTAGTAAACGCAGTGTGCTTTTTACATGCTAATGGTTGGCCACATGCAGCATGCATGCCTCCAGCCACAGACACCTACAAACATGGAAATGCTTAGAAATTGTGCGAGGACACTTGCACTGAATCATCATTAAGAGTAGGTTAAAATGGGCCAACGAGCAGCACCGACTCACTGCCCAGCCAGTAGCACTTTGTATGGTAAGTAGCCTCCTGTTTCCTGCCTGCGCTTCAGCCAATAGATTTTTTTGTGTTTCAGACCTTTATTTAATCTGAGCTGCTTCTACTCCGAGGCTGAGGCTTTCACACAGGTGGAGGGATAATGGAAAAAGAGCTGCCATATTGTAGAGAACCTGGGGCAATCTGGGGTTAAGAGAGGGTATCGCAGAAGTGGGCAGAAAAAGAAACAGGCTCATTACGGCAAGCAGCTAGTGGGCCTCCTGCTGCTTCAAATCCACAGTCTCACCAGCCAAAAAAACAGGAGCCTTTTGGCCCGCAGAATCATCTCGTCTACATCTGTGTACATATATGACTACCTATCCATCTGTCTGTCTGACTAAAACATATATAAACATATATGGCTATATCTATCTATCATCTGTCTACCTATATATCATCTGTCTATCTGTCTATCATATATGTGCATATATAACTATCTATCTAGCTATCTCTATCTATCTATCTGTCTGTCTGTCTGGCATCTCACTCCATCTCACACACTAAGATCATGGGTTTCATTCCCAAAGAATGCACAAACCAATAACAAGTATCAGCCAATTGCATAAATATAAAAATATAATATGCTAAATTCCCATATGGCATCTGAGACTAAATTAGCCACTTAGATACCCACTTAACGCAGTTTTAATTGGAATTTTGTTTACCTATAGTGTGTCACCAGTCGAAACCCCGTGAGCAGTAAAAACCACACGTTATCTGACGCAGACATACAGCTTTCCTGTAAACACATCTGTGCTGCTCACCATTATTATGCATTCAAAACCCTTTTCTGTACCCCGGGGCTGTAAGCATAGACCCCTACTGCTAGGAACAGCAACAATAAACAGTCATAACTCCTTATCATTTTATTGTCTGTTATTGTGTGTTTGCATTGAGGAGGGGCTCAGTGCCACAGCTGATGCAGAATGCTTTAAGCACACAAACAAATCCCCGCTCTCTGTTTCTCCATCCCATCTTTTGCCTCAACTCAAACCCACACATTCTTTTGTAATGAGAAGAAAATGAGGAAGCAGTTCCCAGAGCAGGCTGGTTTGAAGCTGCAGGCTGAACATTAGTAAAAGTGTTATGACTCCGCTGTCACTCCTCAGAGGAAAAAATAACCGGATGGAGGCTTTTTTAGGCAGTTACATAATAGCAGAATAGCAGGCGCCAAAGCCACTGACAAAAATATGCAAATTAAAATAGTTCTTGCTGATATTGGAATATATTTTAATTAAAATGTATGTGTGTGTGGGTAAGGGGTTGGGGTTTTGAAAATGTGCCCATAAATATGTCAAAAACTGACTTGTGAGGACATATGAAGTGGTTCTTATTATATGAAACAAGCAAAATCATGTTTTGGTTTCCATCTACTAATGTCAACTAGTTCCTTTGAGTGTTAAGTTTAGGGTATTGTTAATATCATTATCTTAATATGAAAATGATTGAATCTGTGAGAGGTCTTCACTTATGTAGCTTTAAAAGTCTGTGTGTGTAAAGGTACAGGTTTTAAAATATAGTAAAACACGTCGAAAACCAAGATGTGAAGGCATTTTAAGTGATCACACAATCACAAACACCTAAAAATGTTTTTGCTTTAGATCTCATAATGCAACAGGTTTAAGTGAGGGTTAAATTTAGGTGTAATGTATAGTAAATATCATTGATGTTGTTTGAAAACCATTTGGTCTGTGAGGGGTTCTTAGAATTATAGCTTTAGATGTCTGTGTCTGTGTCTGTCTGTGTGTATGTGTGTGTGTGTGTGTGTTTGTGTGTGTGTGTGTGTGTGTCTGTGTTTCTGTGTGTCTGGGGGGGGGGCACTCTAAATTACTCAAATAGTATCCTCCAAAATAATAAGCTACATCTAATTACACTAATAAAGAGAAAGAAACATTAGTCAAATTTAACGCACAACAAAAATGTCCCAAACAACATTGTGACACGCATGACTTCCTAACAAAGGTAAAACAGCACCTCTCTGTGGACACACGAATGTTGATCCATCAAATTTCATAACGTGGATGTTTCTTGAATTATTCTGTGCGAGATTTGTTTTGATATCTAGAGTGTAGAGTACAAATATATTTCGGTTTTGTGTCCACAGCTTATATGGCACATACCGAGTACTGATATAGACAGCAAAATTCCCGCATCTATAGTTTCTTGGTGTGTGTGTGTGTGTGTGTGTGTGTGTGTGTGTGTGTGTGTGTGTGTGTGTGAGTCTGAGGCAGCACTTCACAAACACTGGTCCCATGGGCGCCTGTCGCCATGCACCGCTTCTCTCGTCTTAAAAAAAGATGACTGTGTTTTACTAGTACTAGTTAAGCGCGTGCAGCAAGTAAGCTCTAGTAGTTGTCAGCTGCAGTGCGGCATCGCTTGTCTATTTTTAAGAATAATATTACGTGCTGTGTATTAATATTTCATCGGCGCACAGTCAAATGCTTAAAGAGCCAGACGAACCTGAAACTAACCTGGTTAAAATCCCATAAAGAGTTTCTGATATAAACTCGGATGCGCGTGGAATTGTCGCGCGCAATGAATAGAAATGTAACCTACTTTCAGCATCATGCATCTGCTTGAACTACACCAAAAACGCAATTATATAATTTAAAATGTTGGTCTTACCTCGCCGGAACATCCTGAAGGTGCGGTGATGATGCGCTGTACTTTATCCCACTGTGATAGTCAAAATAAGCGTCTCATCTTTAATAATCCGTGTCATATGTGATAAAAGTTTGATCTGTTTTAATGATCTGCAAACGATCCACGCCAAATGCAAATTCTTAACTCTTGACCCCTGGTCTCAGGTATCGATTAAGATGGAAAACAACATCGCCGACATGGAAGTCTCACAATCCCGATCATTTTTTTAAAGAGAGATGACTCCGAGAGATGTCAGCCAAAAATGTTTCATATAGGCTACGCTTCAGTTAGCACTTATAACTGCCGCAAGAACCTTTCAGATAGCCATAACAAGAGCATTTAAAGTTTTACAATATCAGTCGATGTGACGGCAAAGAAGCCTTGTGGCATTGTATATCACTTAAACGATGAGTCAAATGACTGTTCTGGTTAGAAACTGCGTTTGGATGCCAGAGATGCTCGGGTGGTTAACGGATGACAGGCGCCCGTGTCTCTTCAGGAGTCGGAACGCTGGAGCACCACGGGTCGAGGGAGGTGCAGAGGAGGGTATTTGCGATGCCCAATTCGTGAAAGAACTATTCTTTTGATTCGGATCTTTTCAATGAATCAGTTGAATGGCTCACGAGCTTTCGAGCGGTTCTTGAACCGAGAACCTTTCGTAAAGAGTTGAAAACCGAAAAGTGACAGCAATAGCGAGAAGTAATTAATTTAAATAGTCGTATGCATGTTTGTGACTTAAGGTGTGACAGTTTGATCATAATGAATAAGAGTTGGTTTTGATATAGAAAATTAAACCAATCCCGTTCTCTCCCCCAAAGTGTAAAACGACTGGTGTTCTGACGATTTGTGCTACCCGCTCAGATTGTGCTACCTCCCATTAAAAAGATAGGTAGCACAAATCGATAGCAAAAAAATGCTACCTATCCGATTGTGCTACTAGCATCTTATTCATGTGGTTTGAGGCTTTTTTTTTGTAATGCCCATACCTACCCTTACCCTAAACTTACCCTTAAAACAATGCAAATATATTTTTGGTAGCACAATCTGATAGGTAGCATGTTTCGCCGGTACACCTGTTAGAACAAAGGCACAGCAGACACAAGTTCTGAGGTTACCTTAACTTTGTCTTTATTGTCTTATATATACAAGGATATATATAGGCATAGGGGTGGTGTACCCCTTTCAACCAATAGAATATGGATTACATATGTGTGTTATATAAGCCAAGAATATGTGTTATATAAAATAGGAGTATGATCAAGAAGTTCTGGACATATTAGGAATACATTTGGCAGAGTGGTACCTCAACTCTTGAGCAAAGGACAGATTGAACCCAGTAACCTGGGTCTGATGGGGCCCCAGTGCCGATCCTAGACTTCTGGGGGCCCTACGCAAAACTGTGTCAGGGGTTAGGGGGGTATGAGTGGTTATGAACGAATGAATGAAATGCATTTGTCCGTGTTTCACTCCGTCTCGAATCGCGCTCACGGAAAGCGCTTGAGAAACAGTGTCTCTTCCGCGGCTCGGTACGCTTTTAACTCGTCTCGAGCAAGACTGTATAACATTCACATTACATGATTTGACTGATTTTTACGTAGAAAGGGCGACAGCGCACCACATTAAAATAAATTATCATTCCTGTTTTCATGCTGGCCAAATTCAAATACGAAACTAAAATTAAATCATCTTTGAGAGCAAGGGGGCCCCCTGGTGTTTCGGGGGCCTTACGCAGCTTGCATATTTTGCGTATAGGGAGGATCGACTCTGTGGGGCCCCCACCATCTTTCACCATTTGAACCTAAGAAGATATTTACTTATATATGCGTGTATTAACCTACTGTAAGATAGAGAGAAGCAAAGCTATGAGAGTAGAGAAAGAACATAGAAGGGAGGAGGGAAAAGCACAAGGGGAGAGAAAGGGAGGGTAGGAGAGGAAGAGAGAGCACACACACACACACACACACACACAGGCCAACTTAAGGAAACATCTGACAGAGAGTGTAAAATATTCTAAAACTACCATTTCATTAGAAAGTGCAAAATCTGTTGAAATGAATATTAGTACTTTTTTATGAGCTAAATCATGATTAAACTGAACTGGGAGACAGTGAATTACAATAAACACCATAATTAATCAAACTAAATAAAAAAGCATAATAAACAGCAATGCGTCCCCACATATGGCTTTCTTGGTACGTTTTATAGCAGGAAATATGCCACGAGGGGATGACATGGAGCACGTGATGAAGCCATAACGCTGTGACGTATTAAAAGAATCTCTGAATTGTTTCTTTTGAACCATTCTTTAAAAAGAACAGTTCGAGAGAACCTATTAGCAGAATTGAGTCATAATCACTACAGGCTAGTACCAAATGAAAGATGGAGTGAGACCCTCTCCGTCTCACTTTAATTCTAAAAATGTTTCCATGCTGCTTTCTCTTAAGACAGACCTGCAGCTACGAGGAAATCTAATGTGTGTCCGTTCGTCTCAAAGCCTGTCCAATGTTTTCTTTCAGAGCAGATGAAATACTAGCCTACCTGTCTGCGCTAGCTCCCTTGCCCTCTGATGACAGAAAGATATAAAGAGCGATCTTTCCCTGTTTTATGGCTTTTGTTTTCCAAGAGGAAAAAAATAGAAAGAAATAATATCCACTTAAGTTGTAATAGATATCATGAGTGTGGAGGGATTTTTTAGTTTATAATTAGCTACTGATATACTGTATTCTTTAAAAAGAGCCTGCATTTTATGAAACGATTTTGAGTGTCTTTGATCGTGATGGTGGTACTGAGTCAAAAATAAAGAGTCAATGTCTGGGTGATTAGAAAAGACGCTATAAAGCACACTACCCAGGAGGACATTTGAAACTGGTAAACTTTTGGAGAGTTCAAGGATCCAGTAAGGGAATGCATTAGTAATAAGTAATAAGTTCAAAACAACGCTAATGTAGAGAAAACACGGACAATTTGACTCGCGTACAGATGGCAGTAAATTACTCTTTTCAGTGTGTATTTGGATTAAAAGCACGAGTGTTTTATAATGAATGCCGGCTGAAGTTGTTTTAGATTATGCGCTGGTCAGTAGATTAGTTATTCTGAATGGATCCGTATAGTAGCATTGTACAGTCAGGTTAAGGCAGCAGGTTTAGTGGTCTTTTGGCGTCTCCCTGTGGTCCTGTTTGGTATCGCAGCAACTGGTGCTCATTTATATTAAAAATGCTCTAAACAATTTTCTTTCTTTCTTTCTTTCTTTCTTTCTATCTTTCTTTCAGCATTATATGCATACATTGGGAATTATGAAAATGTATTTATATATGTATTTATTTATTTGTTTCTTTTATTTATGTGTGGGGGAGTACCGGCACTTCTTTTTTTTTTCCCACTTCAAGCACTGAAGTCATCCATGTCATGCATCCCAATATTTAAAGGACACACAGAAAGAAAGATTTATTATATTATTAATATCTAATTAGTATTGGTAAATAAAATGCATTTATAGTGTATCATGATTAATATATTGTATTGTGTTTCGTTTTTAGGATATGTATTTCTCTGGCTGTACCCAATAGATCTGCCATGACAGCAACACCAGTCCTTCTTCACTGTGCCAAGTGGCCACAGTAAAAAGCCGTAAATCTCTGTGTCTGTGTAAGGTGAGAGTGTTAATGTCCCTGTGTCCTGTATGTCTCTGTGTAAGGCAAAGGGGGTTAATGTCCCTATCCAGCGTCATCTGACACAAGCACCTGTCACATCAGGATCACACAATCCAGAAAGTAGTAGGGTCAATCACAACGCTTTAATCCAGAGTAAAGAGGATAATGTTCCCCCTTTCCTCCCTCCCTCTCCCTCGGGGGACCTGGTATAGGATGGACACTGATAAATATAAATAGTTCTACCTCCCCGGTGGTGTCTTCCTTTCTCCATTTTGGTTTATCTCTAGCAGACAGAAAAGTGAGGCTGCAGTTCAATCACATTGTACATCGTAATACATTTAATTGGTTGATATATATATCATCAATAAATAAACATTACTTACACTACCAGAAAACAACAACAACAAAAAACAATTCTATTTTATATTTTTACATTAACAATATAATCAATATTTTGTTTATTAAAGCCAAGTATGAATCTCATCAAGTTAGTGTTTTTAAGCATTTTACATTTATTCCAAAATAATAACTGAAGGCAGTAACAATTTAAACAATATTTTATTTGTGAACTTATGTCCAGCTATTCTTTTTAATGATTGAGATGCACCTGTAAATTTCACCAAGCTTATTACACACTAAAAACTCCCACAGATCATGTTTTCAGACCATCTCGAGTCATTTTGATGTAACAAAGTGATTATATATCTAAGTGTGTGAGTTGTTTACTTACTTTTTTAAAGTATGTAAACAACTTAATGACATATATGACAATATTGTTCATTCAGACTGATTTGCGAATGCGGAACGCGCATGAACACAAGAGGGGGGGATTTTTGCCTGAACCAATCACAACCTAACATAACCAGTCAGATCCAATCATATCACGATGGAGGCATTGTCTCCTCTCACGTGATTTTCCCCCATTCATTCTCAATTACCCCCCACCAAACTCACGTCATGCTTTAGAGGGCCTGTTAAAACGCAATGGGCTCAGGGGAGGCGAGAGAGACGCGGACTCCCGTTGTTACCTTACCTGATAATGTCGCTGTTGGACAATGTTTCTTTAGAAAAACGAGTGATTTATATACTTTTCAATGTTATATTTTGTAATATAGGCGTTGTTTTATTTTTGTTCTACGATTTTTTTTTCTCATCCAATATTTTGAGGTGACACTGCCTCCCTTGCCTACTCGGCGGAAACGCCCCTGATATATATAAATATATATATAATCATGGTAATTTATAGTCCTTCATTGGAAAACAGACACTCGAATTACAAGCATGTGACATGCATGAAAAGACAAAACAACATTACGTGAGAGGAGTAGTCATGCAACCTGTGCATGTCCTCCCAGAGGAACCTCTTCAACTGACACACAATATTGTTTGTCTCTGGGAGGTGCAGCAACACACCCGTTGTTTTAAAGTGCTGATGAAGACATTTAGAAACTGGTCACACACCAGGGCACTAAGAACTGTGAACTCAGTAGGGATGTCTGATGTTGATTTTCTTTCAGAGTCCAGTCTGTACCTTCACTTGTTTTGAAAACCTTGGAGTCTTGTTGAGTTTACCGTCTGAATTTAAAAGCACTTTATTTGTTATTTCTTTGGTTGTTATGTTTGGTTGCCCTATTGTTATTGCTAATACTTCATTAGCCCTAAGTGTTAAACTTTACATTAAAACTCATCCCACACTGTTTAGTCTTCTTACATCGAAGGAGGCACCCAAGTCATAGGTGACCAAAATATCATAGAGACTTGGGATTGGGCTCTTTTGACTTTGACTTTCGACTTAAAATGTTAATTCAAAAGTGTATTCATTTAAAAAATAAAAATAAATACTCTGTACTCTGTCTGTAAAATATAAAAGACCAAGAAAAAAGGTTGTATAGCTTTATAAGGCAATAAACATGACAAGTTAGGTAGATCCCATTCTTCCACCGGTTTAAAACTCAATTAAATCTCTCGCAAAAAAAATAAAAAACTATATACTGTCAGTTAAAACGTAGCACAGACTGAACCAGTGTGTTGTGAGCAATGAGCTGCGTGCAGTCTTGAGTCCGTTATCACGTCATGCCAAATTTATTGGGAGCCAAACTACTAATGTTATTTACTCTTAAAAGTTAGTCTCGCAGGTCCTCATTATACATAAAGAAGAATTAGGTTTGGACTCTAGAGGCGTAAGAGGCATATTTGGATTCGGACTCCAGGAATGTGCTCACTTTCATGTTCAATGTATTACATAGCTTTTGAGGAATTGTTAGAGATTTTGGCAAGGCATGAATATTATTGGAACAAGCATTTCCTATAGGGCCAGTGTGCATATAATGTTTGATGATTTGTAGCTTACAGTATAAGCTTTTTCCATTTTCTGAAGAAAATGGGATTGGTGCTAGGTGTTCTGGGTGGTTGCTACATGGTTAATCATATTTTAAGCATATAATAATTACTGGCTTAACTACCACAAATAATTAGGCAAGGAAACATAATTATGTTGTTTTGAACTTGAAATCAGTTTTTAGCACTGCAGGCTGTGCTGTGAATATGACTTCCAGTCCTGGCAGATAAGTGATCAGCTTGATGCGTTTTTGACCTTTTAGTGACCTTTCGTTGACCATCCCACAAACTTCTGCCTTGTAATGAACGCTTTGTACTCTAGCTTCCTAACATCCAAGTCTGAAGCTTAGATCTCGACCTTTTCAACAGATGGGCTCTTGCCTTCACTCTCCTTGCCAAATTATACAATCCCTCCTTTCTGAGGAAAAATATGAGTCATTCTGTGAACTTCAACGACTGGTGCACTTTTAGCTACAGCACATGTGATGTGCGGTCCGTGGGAGTCCCGCTCAGCTCTGCCAAGGTTACAGGCATCGGTAACACACCACCCAACAGAAATGTCAGTCAATATGCATGTGCCATGTAAACAGAGTATCCCTGAGAGTATGTGAGAGAGACTGATTGATAGATAGATAGATAGATAGATAGATAGATAGATAGAGATAGTCATATGGCCACATTTGTAAACATCACATTAGCTCCTTTCTCTCATACTGCAGCCACACACAAAAGTCCTGACGCATGAGGAAGGTGTGAGAGCTCTCCCACCACCACAGGAAATTATGGTGTGGATGCAGGAAAAGGTGAGAGATAAGTCCTAATTGCCAGGAAAAGAGGGATAATGAATATACAGGGAGATGGAGCAGACTGCTGAAGACGCTGGTTTTCGTGACTCACGGGACGTGGAGTTTCTCTCTCCTACTGAACTTTGAATGTTACCAGAGGGGCATGCCACATCATTAAGTATGGGGGGGGGACAGAAAACACTTGAGTCATAAGCACAGCTTGCTGCATAACTAAACCGCTTTTTGTTTTGGAGTCTCATTTTAAATAAAGGTCGGTGTGATGTGAAACTTAGCAAATGCATTTAAATGTATTTCTTATTTCATACTGCATGTATTCCTGATAGATTTACGAATGTGATTACAAGATTGGAAATAGGAACAGAATGTGAGGGATTGGAGGTCAAATAGAATGGCAAAATTACAGTCAGTGCTTGTTGTATATGTTTAGGTTTGTCTGTCAGGGAAGGCTTGACAGCGTAGAACCTTGAATTATTGTGTCATAATTTTCTTATTTCAAACACTTTTCTTATCAGAAGAGGAGAGAGAGAGTAGAAGATTCTTGTTATTTCAGAGACAGAACAGAAAGTGTGGTACCAGGCTGCATATTAATAAAACAAAGAGGTGGGAAAACAATTGCATTTTCTAGAGGTTTGTTTTTCAGGTATCTCATACTGCATGTATTCCTGATAGATTTACGAATGTGATTACAAGATTGGAAATAGGAACAGAATGTGAGGGATTGGAGGTCAAATAGAATGGCAAAATTACAGTCAGTGCTTGTTGTATATGTTTAGGTTTGTCTGTCAGGGAAGGCTTGACAGCGTAGAACCTTGAATTATTGTGTCATAATTTAGCCCAACACTTTTCTTATCAGAAGAGGAGAGAGAGAGTAGAAAATTCTTGTTATTTCAGAGACAGAACAGAAAGTGTGGTACCAGGCTGCATATTAATAAAACAAAGAGGTGGGAAAACAATTGCATTTTCTAGAGGTTTGTTTTTCAGGTATCACCCTATTGCAGCCGAGACTGTGTGTGCATACAAACTGTTTTATTATGTAATGGATTAATACAGGAATGCTTTCTGAATTCATAATTTGGTAACATTTTACAATAAAGTTCAACTTATTAACATTAGGTAAACCATTTGGTATCATGACCTAACAGTAACTATTTTATAGAATTTTCTAGGCTAATGTTAAATTCTTTATTAATATGCTTCAACGTTTCAGGTTGTTTTTGATGTATTATGAATGAACATGAATTAAAAATAGTAGGTATATTTTAAATTAACATTTACCTAGATTAAATACTATTTATGTTAAAGCTACAATGTAACCCTTTAGTGGCTGAAACATAAAACTACAAGTTACTTGGTTTGGTAATTAAGTTCAATTGAGTTCGACGCTATTTCAATTGGGGCCCGTTCTTCGTACATCGCTAACTCAGTTAGCTGGATTTGATTGTTGACGATTTGGTATGATCTTGGATTATTTGGTTCTTCGAAGCTCATCTTGGACTTGTTGTCATAGCAAGTTTAAATACCTCATTCATTCATTAATGCTGCAAAAATGCTTTTATTGCTGAGATTTTTGCCTTATTTCAAGTACAAAAATCAAAAAATTCTTAAATCAAGATGCAGTTTCTATATAAAATAAAATACGATATTTAGAAATCTATCCCAGCCACTGCTACTTTATTACAAGAGTACCCTACTAATCCGGGGACAGTAATTTAAAATAGTAATAATTTTAAAATTAATTTGCGACCTCTTGAAGTAACCTAATAATTAGAATTTCCTTTAGGATTTTCAGTGTTGTTGGATGCATTGATGACACGTATATTCCTATTTATCATAGCGCCTTTCGAAAATGAAACTGATTACTGTATGGAATGGAAGGATGCCAGATGGAAGGGTAGTGCAAGATATCTATGCCGTAACCACCACCACAGCTATTAAACACAAATTATTCTCAATTAATTTGGTCATCTTTATTTCCTACAAATACAAAAGCAACAATTATTATTTTCCCAGTTGGTTTTTAATATTGTGGCCATCTCCTCTTCATCTGGAGCGATGATTGATCTTGACCCTTAAGAAACTTTAATTAATGCTGTCACATAACAAACCTGCTTCAAAAGATAAAATTACATGAATTGCTAATTACAACATTGAAATAAAAATGTAAAGCCTGTACAAATTCTATAGAAATTGTGAATATAAATAAGTGGGAATTATAAATAAATAAATAAATAAAATAAAAACAGTGCACATTTAATTGATCTATTATAACATTTATGTAGTTTTGTTTACTTGGCTGTTTCCTTATAAAGGTCAGGTTTTTGGTCAGGTATCTTTTTTAATTATATGATGTTTTTGTTCACTTGGCTGTTTCCTTATAAAGGTCCAGAAAGTTTTTTGTCGAGTGTCTTTTTTAATTATATGATATCATTACGTTGCTGTCTTGCCGCCAGCCAATCACTGCATTGCTGATCGTGGTTTCGAGTATCGATACATCTGCACTTTTCGGGGGAACACAAGAACGCGCAGTAATCTTAGACAACTTAATCCAGATATTTTAATCAAATCCGCAAATTTGTTTGAAGAATCAAATTAGCCAGAGATCAGTTATCACTATTAGAAGATCTGGCATCTTTCAAATCATCTCAGATGTATTAAGCGAGGTACGAAGAAGGGGCCCCTGGATGACGCGCAGATGACAGAACTATGCAATTTCCAGGGAAATCCGTCCCGACAGCGCTCCAATGTAAAGGGCAAGGTAAGAGTGTTGTCTGATGTGCTTGCGCATTAATTAAAGGTGCACTAAGCGATTTTTGAAAAACGTTTTTGACCACTGTGTCGAACCAAGTCCCAAAACAAACTCGTAGCCAATCAGCAGTAAGGGGCGTGTCTAGTAATGATAGGGAGAAGAGAGTGCTCAGTGAGTGCACAGGACGGATATTAGCAGATCGACTATAGATAGCGAGAGATGGCAGATAAAAAAAAAAAGAGGAACAAAACGAAGGGTTACGATCAGGCAAGAGGTAGGACCTGCGTAAATATCGGAGCAGCTTTCCAGCAATGGAGAAACTCAAGGAGCGGAAGGGAATCGGATGCCGAGGTTGCTTTATTTCTTCGTGATAGGTGAGTTACGTTCATTTTGCTTTTTCACACAACTTTTCTGTGCTGGCTTTTGCGTGAATCGTCACTGCCAGGGTTGTGTACGTACGTGTGGGGCGGGGTTATCAAAATTGGGGCGAGGTCCTGACTCCTGCCGTTCTGCCGGTTTTCACCTCTGATATTATAACAGTGATTAAAACTTAAAGTTACGTATTGCGTAGTATGCGGAAGTCTTTTTGTCGGTGTTGCCATGGTGAATTGTAATTTCGGAGCTCCATTGATCATGGCTTTTCAAAGTCGTGGTGCACACGCTAAACTCAGAGTCAACATACTCAGAGTGGATTGAACTAATTCTGTTCAGCTGTTCTTAAACCGTAAACTCAGAGTTTCCTATTTTGGGGTTTGTTAACCCAGAGTTCAAGTTTTCACTCAGAGTTTGTTGAACCTCCCTTCTGGAATACACCCCTGTTGGGGTATGTGCATGTTTGTTTTGATGCTTTCAAATAGCAACATCGTTTGGCAAAAATCGCTTAGTGCACCTTTAAGTTTTGTATGTTTCCAACAAATGTCAACATATTCTGATACACCAAATACACAAAATAATGATCTTTAAAAAAGCATCATATGACCCCTTTAATCGTTTAATCACCACAGCGTCTTGTCTCCATTGCAACACGCACGATTTGTGTCGATTAAGTGACGTCGCAGGTATCGGAGAGTGCAAGTGGCGATTGCAAGTGACGTCGCTAGCGGAAGCGCAAGTGTCTGAGAATGCAAGTCTGAGAGTGCAAGTGCGAGGCTGCAGCCAGACCCTTCTCGGATTAGGGCCAAGCAATAATAAAAAAATAAAACCATCTCGAGATTAAATTCATTATAATACGAGATTAAACTCATGTCGAAAAATGTGAAAAATGTCGAAATAAAATGTTGAGGAAAAAACTCATTAAATTTAGAGAATAAAGTCATTGTGTTTTGAGTAAAAAAAAACTTGTTAAATTTCAAGAAAAAAAGCCAAAATTAAATGTTGATAACAAACGTATTAAATTACGAGAAAAAAGTCTAAATAAAATGCTGAGAATAAACACACTCGTGTCATGTTTATTTTATCTCGTTGGACAGTATTTATCAGTGTCTGCAGTGGCGCAGGTCGTGGTTGAAGCCTATGCTGTCGACCAGAGTTCGAATCAGCCGCTTGCCAAACTCGCTCTTCTTCCTTTTTTCATCACATATCACATCGGAAAAGTGGAAATCAATTGCCTAACGAGTGTTTAATAATGATGTATTAATTGGGTTATGGGGTTAGTAGGCTATAGGGAGGGCTTTGTTGTAAGGCAGCGTCTATTTAAAGATTTGGTTCACTTTCAAATGAAAATTTCCTGATAATTTACTCACCCCCATGTCATCCAAGATGTTTATGTCTTTCTTTCTTCAGTCGAAAAGAAATTACAGTTTCAGTGCAGCTTCAAAGGGCTCTACAAGATACCAGATGAGGAATAAGGGTCTTATCTAGCGAAACGATCTGTCATTTTCTAAAAAAAAAAAAAAAAAAGTATATGCTTTATAAACAAAAATGCGTGCCTTGCACTGCTCTGCGATGCGCGTCCGTGACTTCACGTAATTACGTTGAAAAGGTCATGCTTGACGTATAGGCAGAAGTACTGACTCAGTCAGTGTTTACAAATGTGGAGAAGGAGGGCCATTCAAAAGTTGTTGTATGTTCAATGACACATATTCAAATGTCTTTGTGTCAGTTTATCGTTTAAAATGGTCAATTCGTGTTCGTATCCTGGATGTTTAAATCTTTTGAAACCTAACTTCCGCCTATGTCAAGCGTGACCTTTTCAACGTAATTACGTATTACGTAATTTATTTTTATATGCTGTGATTATTTTTTTAGAAAATTACCGATCGTTTCGCTAGAGAAGACCCTTATTCCTCGTCTGGTATCGTGTAGAGCCCTTTGAAGCTGCACTGAAACTGTCATTTTTACCTTCAACTGTTTGGTAGCACTTGAAGTCCACTATAAGGAGAATAATCCTGGAATGTTTTCATCAAAAACCTTAATTTCTTTTCGACTGAAGAAAGAAAGACGTAAACATCTTGGATGACATGCGGGGGTGAGTAAATTATCAGGAAAATTAAATTTGAAAGTGAACTAATCCTTTAATAATTTTAATAAATAAAATCATTTACACTGTTATTTTTGCATCCTGTTAATGTACAATAATGCTGAGGTGGAAATAGTATATGTCACTATTTATACGTATAAATAGCATATAATTACTATTTACACTGATTGCAAAGATCTGCTACTTTTACATAGTGTAAATAGAATCACTATTTTCACTTAGTTTAAATAGCACATTGCTAAAAATGCTGCTGTTGTCACTTGTCACAGTAAATAGAATATATCACAATTTTCACTTAGTGTAAATATCTATTTTCATTTAGTGTAAATAGCATCCGATGTGATATGGGATGAAAAAAGGAAGAAGAGCGAGTTCGGCAAAAGGCAGATTCGAACTCTGGTCGACAGCATAGGCTTCATCCACGAGCATTGCTTTCTACAACCTGCGCCACTGCAGACGCTGATTAATTCTGTCCAACGAGATCAAATAAGCATGACACGAGTGTGTTCTCATAATTGAATGAGTTTATAATCAACATTTAATTTTGGCTTTTTTTCTCGAAATTTAACGAGTATTTTCTCGAAACACGACGACTTTTTTCTCGTAATTTAATTAGTTTATTCTCAGCATTTTATTTCAACATTTTTCTTGAAATTTAACGAGTTTAATCTCGCATTATAATGATTTTAATCTCGAGATGATTTTATTTTTTTATTATTGCTTGGCCCTAATCCTCTTCCGTAAAAATAACATTGAACAGTATGTGTGCGACAATTGTATTTAAATGGTAGAATGCTCAATTTTTGTTACATAACTTCATGCTTAATTCTCATCCAGTTATTTAGAATTTTTAGTTCAATTTTGTGTAAAAATGAACTTCTCAAATTATGGACATTGCTTCTTGTTTATTTGTCACACTGAAACGTGTCAGAAACCTTGAAAATTATTCATACGAGGCAGATGTCCTGAAAGCCAGTTTCTATAAGTTTCTTCAAACCAAAATGTTGTCTGTTAAGCCATTGACTGAGTAGTTGTTAAGTGCAGTGCATTATGTTTTGTCTTATTTTAACGCTTGTTTTGTCTTATTTTTAGTCATCTTGTGGCCCCCTCTGCAAGTTTGCTGAGGACCCCTGTTGGATCCCCGTTGGGAAATACTGATCTTCAGGGTTTTTGAGTTTAACAGGTTTTTTTTTTTTTTCTTTTTCTTTTTCAGAAGCGAGCAGGTGCTAAAGATATATTTATTATTTCATTTTCTCTCCTGCTAATGGTGACTGTATTTGGATTGTTAATAGTGGCATTTGTGAGCATGTAATATAAATTGTATGTATTTAGTAGCTTGTTTTTCCTCCAAAGTTCTCAAAATGTCCAAACTCAAGTTTAAGCAGTTTTAATGGGTGTACACTTGTGGAAGTGCACATCCATGATTGCTGTAACTTCATGTTCTGTAGTTTTATTGCCATTTTGCATCTTTTTTTGGACTAGGTCAAATTGGGCAGCACTTACACTGTCTGCATCAGTCTTTCTGATGATGACATTTAGCACCAAATGGAAACTCTTAATATAGTGTTGGCTAAATAGAATGGAAACTTGTTTACTCCACTGAAAAAAAAAAAAAAAAAGGTAATTGTGACTTTTTATCTCACAATTATGACTTTTTTTCGCAATTGCGAGTTTTTTGTGAGATATAAACTCCCAATTACGAGATATAAAGTCAGCATTGCGTGATATAAAGTCGCAACTGCATGTTATTGTCACGGGTGACACACACACACGAGGGACGAGGAGACGCTGGAGAATACTTTTAACAGGACTTTATTTGCACCAAGGAAGACGAACACAGGAAGACGTTCACACGAAGACCTTCAACATCGGACAGAGAACTAGGGACTGGGAACACTTTATATACACACACACAGGAGGAGGGGATGACGAGACACACCTGGGAGCCATGACACATCAAGGGAAACACCTGGGAAGAAATCAACTTAATTAATCAGGGGAGGAACAGGAAACAAACCAAATAAGGGCATGGGAAGGCACATGGGGAGCAGGACACACACGAAACATGGAACAGAGTCTGACAGTAATTTTAGTTTTTTTTCTATCATCTATCTATCTATCTATCTATCTATCTTTTGAATTGTCACGTTGCACACACACGAGGGACGAGGAGACGCTGGAGAATACTTTACACAAGACTTTATTCGTAGGAAGGAACCAAGGGAGACGAACTCAGGAAGACGTATACAGGAAGACCTTCAACATCGGACAGAGAATTAGGGGCTGGGAACACTTTATATACACACACACAGGAGGAGGGGATGACGAGACACACCTGGGAGCCATGACACATCAAGGGAAACACCTGGGAAGAAATCAACTTAATTAATCAGGGGAGGAACAGGAAACAAACCAAATAAGGGCATGGGAAGGCACATGGGGAGCAGGACACACACGAAACATGGAACAGAGTCTGACAGTTATAAGGTTAATAAGATATAAACTCACAATTCTGACTTTATTTCTCAGAATCGTGAGTTTATATCTCGCAATTCTGATTTTATAACACGCAACTGCGAGTAATAAGTTGCGAGATATAAACTCTCAATTGTAAGAAAATAGTCTTTTTTTTCCTCTGAATTGAATTTCATAACTCGCAATTGCAGGTTTATATCTCACAGTTCCGAGAAAAAAAGTCAGAATTGCGAGAAAAATTTAATTATATCTTACAATTCTGACTTTATAACTCACATCTCCGAGTTTATATCACACAATTCAGAGAAAAGAAGTCAGAATTGCGAGATGTAAACCCGCAATTGCAAGAAAAAAAAACAATTGTGAGATAAAGAGTCGCAATTACCTTTTTTATTTTTTATTTAGTGGAAGAAACGGGCTTCCATAAAATAGTGTACTATATATATTCCGATTTGATTTTAACATTTCCCAAAGAAAGTTCTTACCACTCACCCTATTTGCTAGGGTGTTCTAGGTGGTTGCCAAGACGTTGCTATGCAGTTGCAAATATATTTTAAGTGATTGTTAGTGCATTGCTATGTGGTTTCTTGGGTGTTTTGAGTAGTTACCAGTTGCTATGTCACGTTCTGGGTGATTATTAGCATGTTAATAAGTGGGTGTTAGAGAGTTCTGTGTGGTTTCTTACTGGCCTAAGTTAAAAAACCCACCACCATTTCTCTATGGTATTTTGGCCCAAATAGATATGCCTAGGATTCTCCTTAAATGCAAGTTTATATTTTGT